GCTTAATCTATTTGAGCTTTTTAAGATATTTTAAAATCTAATAAAATTATTATTTTTCTTTATTAATTATATACAATATATCAAATTGAAAAATAATTAGGAAGATTTTTACAATATATTTCATAGATTACATATCAACTCAATTTTTAATAGATTGAAATGGGCTGAATTAGAACGGACTGAGTTAATAAATATGTGAGTCAATAATCTGCCCAAACTCAAACGAACTGAACGAATTAGATTTGATTTTGTCACTCCTAGAAAGTTTATATATATCATGTCTTGCATTAATCATTAATTACTGATATAAATATTAAGTGAATAAATTATCTTGCACTAACATTTGTTATACAAATTATATAATTAGTTATTCAAACTTTTAAATTACCTTTTCTAATTATCTTAATATTACTTTTTCACCACTAAGCTACTATATAATAGACTAAACAAGTTGTACTAAGATCTTAAAAAATCTTTTTTCTTTATAATAAAGTCAAAACAAATAAATTTGAAATAGAATGATGAAGTAATATATGGAAACATTGAGTTCATCAACGTTGACTTAAATGAAATATCATGAAAAGGCAGTCCCATTTATAATAATTTTTTTTGAAGACGTAATAACCAAAATGTATAATCAATGGCTCTAATTTTGTCAAACCTTTATTTTAATATATACATATATAATATTTATATATACTATAAACTTTTAGTGCATATCTATATACCAGGATTATGAAAGAATAATATTCTTTTATTCTTAAATAATTTCTTGAATGCAAATTATATTGGTTTCTTATTAAAAAATTTACCTCTAATATGAACTTTGTAAAATAATAATGAACAAAAAATTATTCTTATTATTTTTAAATAAATAAATAAATAAGTTTTTTGGCCAACCTTCGAATGTGCCTCCTCCAAAATTCTAAAGGTTGAGTGATAATGAATTATAAAACTTAAAAATAAAAAAATTAAGAGAGAGAAAGTTTGTGTATGTTAAAATTTTGAAAAAGTGAAGGTTCTTTTTATATATATATAATGTTTTACCTTTCATATAAGCATACCTATCAAGAGAAATGGAAAGAATTAAGAGATAAAATTGATTTTACATTCGAAACATTAATAAAATTGAGTTAATATTATGTTGTTAAATTAAATTAATCATTATATTTGAATTAATTAGATTATAAACGATCACTAATTTGGACAAAAAAACAAATTCTAAAACAGTTTTTTACTCTTTACACTATATATTATATTATGAAATGATTATTAGTATGATATAATATTTGCTCACTTTCACTTATATGGAATTATCGACGTGTTCCAATATATTAAGACCAATTCATGATTCACCAATATCAAATCAAAGCGACTAAAACACACATATAGAGATAGAGAGAGGGGTCACTTTGGAATTTTGTAGGGTTCTAAGCAATACATGACAAAGTCTAATGTGTATATTTTCCTTAAGAGGGTCCCCTTTATTTTTTTCAATCATTCCGTATTCAGTTTACTAGTTTGATTAATTAATTTAGATTTACATGTTAGTTACTATATGAGAGTAAAATCGTAAAATGCTCTTGAATAAGCTCTATCTTGCAAGGTTCGAAGAAAAAATATTATATATCTAATTTTGATAGTGTTTTACACGTCTAATAGATTCATTCATCAAATAGTAAATATATGTATATTAATATGACATCAATTTATCGAAATTTCTTATCAGACAGATATATATAGATAATATAGAAGTAGACCTAGCAAGTCTATCAAAAAAAGAAATTCTTAAAAATATTTTCTTGAAATAAAAATAGAATTATTTTGAACTTTCAAGTGGTTGAAATGCAACTCAAATTAAATGAAGAGCTCTTACTTGGGGGTTGGGGCCATGCCCCTTGAGCACTTAACAATCATTTGGTATCTAAATACCTCTTTTGTATACATAGTACAAGTTGAGATTAGTTTTGTATTTTTTGAATCAAAATTAAAGCAACTTGCTTTGATGTATAATTTCTATAATTAAAAAAGATTAATATATTCTTGCCTAGATCCTAAACCATTATGAGAGTCAGAGTTCTATTACTGGGTCAAAAGAATAAAACTTACTCGCACGGGGTATTTATATCAATCCAATACACATATGACATGTGTTTAAATTTATAATTTATTTTACTTAACTTTAATTAATTAACATGTGTTTTACTTTATTAAATCACATAATAATAAAAATTTAATTAATTTGATATGAACATCCGAGTAAACTTTTTCTATATAATTTCTCTTTTTTTCCTCATCGTTCTCACTTCAAATTGACATTATTTATGAAAAAACTACAGTAATATTCCACCACCATCTTCAACGTAATTGCTTGAAAGTCAAGAACTCTTGTCCATCAAATTCAACCAATAAGTTATTGGATCATAAATTCTCTAATTCAACTAAGAAGTTATTGGATCATAATTTCTCTTTTTATTAACTAGTGTTGACAAAAAAAATGGTTTAAAATGAAAAATAAAAAATAAAAAATCCCAAGCATATATTCTCTTGGAATTTTATGATGCTACTTTACTTATGTACGTAGAATATTTTATTTTCTAGCTAGCCTTGCTTTGGACAAATATATTCGTACTGTGATTAAGTATAATTTACATAATTTCATAGTGTTAAAAGCTAATTACGTTATTTTTTTACTCTTTTTTAAATTATATAAATCCCTGAAAATTTATAGACTCCGAATACAGTATCACTGGACTTTCAGATACATCTGTACACATTCAGATGCAGAGGAGAGGAATGTATTAGAGAGGGGAGGCACACCACTAGACTTCTGAATACATGAGCATACATATATATCTGAATACATAAGGAAGGAATGTATCCAACATGCGAGGTATGTATCAGAGAGGGAATAGGACATCTGGATCTATAAAGGAGGGATGTATCAGAGAAGGGAAGGATGAATCTAAGAGATTGGAATGTATCAGGGAAAGGAGTCAAGCATATAGTGGTCTAAATCAAAAATCAAACGGGGCCTTAAACTTGAATTATTAATAATTTTTATATAATTGATTTCTTCTAGTTTTCAATTGATAAATATTCATTCTTATTTTAAATTATTTTTCATGAGATATAATACTCTATATATGTCAAATTTCTTCTAATAATTCCTTCATTTTTCATGAAAAGTTTACTTTTTCTACAAATAGTATTCAATATTTGTTAAAAAAATAATAACTTATAACCTATTATTATTAGGAATGAGGCCCCTTAAATTTGGGGGCCTAAGGCGAATGTCTTTTTTTTAACACTGTCGAGCCACCCCTAGGTAATGTATCCGAGAGAAAATTTTAAAAATTTTGAAATAATTTTCTTTTTTAGAAATTATGATAAAATAAAATGTGTATCTAACTTTTTTTTAAAAAAAAAACCCTATAATTTATCAATTGATAAGCTACCAATGACTATCGAAAAGAACAAAACAAAAATTGTTAAAGAGAGTGTATGAAAAAGCCTAATTTTGGGGAGAAAAGCATGGTAACAATATAGACACATAGAAAATGACATCTAGCTTATACTATACATGATGTAAATGATTTAATTTGTCTCAAATTATTCATCACACATGTAAATTTTGTCAAAATTTTGACGTTTGATATTGAAGTATTTGTTTACGAGACAAGCAAGATAAAAAATTTAATAAAGACCACTCAATTCTAAAATTAATATTTTACTGATGTTAATTCAAATTAATCGATCTAAAAAAATATAAGAGGAGACAAATTTAAGTGGTGTTGGTACTTTATTTTTTCAGTAGGAAAATGATGAATTAAGTGAGAATAGGGTGGATGGTAGGGTTTAGTTAGGGCAAAAAAAAATGACAATTCAAATGTCAAATTGTAGAATTATAAGACAACCAAAGATGTATTGTCATTCAAGTTCATGATTCGATTTGGATTGACATTTTAGTAAAAATTTTAAAAACAATGTATATATTAGGTAAATGGAATATAATGAATATATAAAATATATAAGTATAGGTAAAACTATGCTATTTTATATTTCTTTTTTCAATTATCTCCTATTTTACTAGGCCTGTGTGGAATTCAAGAACACGTTCTTCTTTTAACTAACTATATTCTAATTAAGACAAAAAATAAACAATAATAAGGGTATGAAGATCAATTATTAAAATAGAGGGTTAATAAATAATAGTATTGTTTAGCTTTCTTTATCAATATTATTAAATTTTTTTCCACCTTTCATACATACTCCTTAGTACTATACTTGTTATTTTATTTGTTTTGATTATCATATTATTTTTTAATATTATTAATTATATTTTCTTTTTTCTTCTTGTTTTCCAATGTCTGTCGAGGATTAATTGAAAATAATTTTTCTATCTCATGAGATAAGAATAAGGTTAGCGAATAACGATTCTCCTCGTATTCTATTTGTGAAGTCACCCTGAATATATATGTTGTTCAAAGAGTAACTAAAACAAATAAATTAAAATAGAAAGTATGAAAGTCAATAACAAAAGTCGTGATATCTAATATATCGTATTATTTGTTGGTGCTGCTGATATTTTTTAGCGTGTTTCTTTTCCTTTATCCTTTTATTATTTTATTTGAGCCGAGAGTATATCAAAAATATTCTCTCTTAGCTTCGAATAAGACAACATATACATTACTCACTCAAATTTCACTCGTGTAATTTCATTAAATATGTTATTATTATTGATATTCCCTTTTTCTTTTGTTTAAATACCTCAGCCGCCCAGAATAACCATCCATATTGCTCCACCCTCTCTCTCTCTAAATATTTTAACCACACAACACAACATTACACAACACAAGACAAAACACCAACCATATAGAAAGAAGAATCTCACTCACTCTCATTATTTTCTTTCTTCATTCAACACTACTCTCAATACTATACAAACATGAACTAAAACCTTTTACTACTATATAGTTTATACATAAGCCAAAATAAATATGAGTAATAATCCTGAAGATCCCTTAAGAAGTCTCTCTTTAGATTATCTCAATCTCCTCATCAATGGTCAAGCTTTCAGTGATGTTACTTTTCATGTTGAAGGTCATTTAGTCCATGCTCACCGTTGCGTCCTGGCAGCAAGGAGTCAATTCTTCAGAAAATTTTTCTGCGGGCCGAGCTCTCCTCAGTCCGGCCCGCAACTCGGCTCGGTTAACGGGCCGAGAGATACTGGTTCACCAGCATCATCAGTAGTGATACCGGTGAATTCAGTAGGATATGAGGTGTTTTTATTGATGATGCAGTTTTTATATAGTGGACAAGTATCAATTGTACCGCAAAAACATGAGCCAAGGCCAAATTGTGGAGAGAGAGGTTGTTGGCATACACATTGCACCTCAGCCGTTGATCTTGCACTTGATACACTCTCAGCCGCTAGATCTTTTGGTGTTGAACAACTTGCTTTGCTCACTCAGGTTAATCAATCATTTGTCCTTCCACATCTCTTTAATGAGTTTAACTAATATCTACCGACAATCAGGTTATTCTATATATATTTATTACGGTACTAATAATAACTTCTTTGAAATTAGTAATCTTGAAAAAAAAGTCCAAGTTAAAAATGACCTAACAGAATCATCAGTATGTCAGTGTATATAAGTTAAACTCTGATATTAATTTTGATTGATCACTTTTGTTTATTGTATATGGTGTTTGGGATTTTTGGTATACTGGAATCAAATTTCCATTTCTTCTTGGGAAATGGTGTTAATTTTTGTTTCTTGTTTAGTAGTACTAAGTTTCTTTTTGAAGAATCATTTGATCCAAGAACTTCTTCTTCTTTTAATTTGCTTGCATATTTTTTTTAACTTATTTATAAATAGTAAAGAGGGGGGATGGGGGGCAATCTTTATTTTTTCCCTCTTTTTGCATTGTTTAATGATTTATTTTGTTGATGGAATTTTGACATTAGATGTCTCATCTCACAATTGTTGTCTTGATTTCATGTGAGATTTTAGTTATTTGAGTTTCTTGAATTGGGCTTATTTTATCATAATGTCACACACTAGCTAAAATGTTTCCAAATATGGTTCTTTATTTATACATCTTGTCTTTCAAAAAAGTGATGACACCAAATCTTTCCCCAATAGTCCATCTACTTTCCTCATTTAGTTACAAGAAAAAAAAATGGAACTACAATTTTGAACATATATAACACATTAGTAGACTGTATATATATTCTTTTTTTAGCACTCGATCTTATCAACTATTTAAAATTAGTTAAACCATAGGACGAGATCGTGATAATTATTTTATGTTTCTTGTTATAAATTGAGCAGAAGCAATTGGCAATCATGGTAGAAAAAGCTTCAATTGAGGATGTGATGAGAGTTCTAATAGCATCAAGGAAGCAAGACATGAATCAACTATGGACTACGTGTTCACATTTGGTTGCAAAATCAGGTCTTCCACCCGAAATGTTGGCCAAACACCTCCCCATTGATGTTGTAGCCAAAATTGAAGAACTACGCCTCAAATCCAACCTAGCACGTCGATCCTTAATGCCACATCATCATCACCACCTCGACCTCAGCTCTTCAGCTGAGCTCGAGGACCAAAAAATCCGTAGGATGAGACGAGCCCTTGACTCATCGGACGTTGAACTTGTCAAGCTTATGGTGATGGGAGAAGGTTTAAATCTTGATGAATCAATTGCACTACACTATGCAGTTGAAAATTGTAGTAGGGAAGTTGTGAAAGCTTTACTAGAGCTAGGTGCAGCGGATGTTAATTTCCCTGCAGGACCTGCAGGGAAAACTCCGCTGCACATTGCTGCTGAAATGGTGTCACCAGACATGGTAGCTGTTCTATTAGACCATCATGCTGATCCCAATGTACGAATGTTAGATGGCATCACTCCATTGGACATTTTACGTACCCTAACATCCGATTTTCTATTTAAAGGAACTGTACCTGGACATGTCCACGTCGAACCTAATAAGTTGAGACTCTGTCTTGAACTTGTTCAATCAGCAGCTATGGTGATTTCAAGAGAGGAAGGGAGCGCAAACATTGATCTCTCTTCGACAAATATTTATCCTCCAAATAACATGAGTGATGATCATACATCTAGCACAAGTACTAGTGGGACTAATAACATTGATTCAAGAATGGTGTATTTAAATCTTGGTGGTGGAGTTACTAATACTTCTTCAACTCATGATCACCCTTCATCAATGTATCACCATTCATCACATGAGTATTAAGATTGTATATATAAATTGAGACCAACTAGAAAGGAAAGTCAATCATCTCAATATTATGATCTATATATAGTTACATGTATACCTTTGCTCTTTAGCGTACTATTTTGTGCGGTGTCACGGACTTAGAGTTTTACTAATATTTTGTGCGGCACTTGACAACTGGGTTATGACATTGGCCTATGTTAGTTGCTTAGATTCTTCGAGAATATTATCACTTTCGTGTAAGATATTCTTTAAAGGTATACTATCTTTTAGGAGTTCGATCGATGTATTTATCCGACGATATTTTTTAAGAATTTGAGCAAGATAATATTTTTTTTGTGAATTTTTTCATGTTTTGATTTTAGGGCATTGATGAGATGATAATGCAATGGGGAAATTATTGGACGAGAGTTGAGACAAAGGAGAATCTGAGTTTTTGCTTTGTGAAGAGGAAAGGACACAGGTCAATCTTGTCACCTCTGTCCTGTCAATTACTTTTTTGTTTTATTTTTAAGGAAATTATTTATTTATATAGATGGTAAAATAAATAGCATATTAATCAATATAATTTAATTTATTTTAGTAAATTACTTTTTATTTATTTTTTGGGTTTTAGTTGTATGCACCGATAAAGTAAATAAAAAATAAATTATTAGGTCAGCAAATTGATTTCTACAAATAAAGTCTCATTTGATTCCATTAAGATTAAGACGTCTGAATTTGAATACACATATAAAAATTAAGATATGTATTAAAATCTAGATGTGTAAATCTGAATAAACATCTGAATATTAAGATGTTGTCTCTGAATCTAAATACTGATTATTGGGATTGATTGTTTTAATATCTGAATTGTTTGTTTTCAATATATGAATATTAAACGCTATATAATTAAAATATTATAAAAACCTCATTTCACTAAAATAGTTTTATATGCAAAATAATATTTTGAACCTTTTTATCACAACAAACTAATATGATTTATCTATTAAGAATTTAACATTAAGTTACATCATTAATTTGACTGTTCTTTGCACTCAAAAACTTTGAAAATCTAATATAATGCAACGTAAAATAGTTTATATAGTATAATAATATAATGTTTATGAAAACATTATATTTTATAATGCACATTTGTTATTGTTATCGATCAAATAATTAATACTTTCTTATTTTCTGAAACCATGCTAAACATTATATCATGAATTATGCTTATTAATTCAAATATATTGATTAATTTATAAAAGTAAAAGACATATATTAAGTTAGTAAGAACAAAAAAAAATTATAAAGGTAAGCATATAATTAACATTAATTAAATAAGAAAAAAATTATGGGTTGTTGTGATGTAGTTGAATTAAGATAAAAGTCTTATTTTTTGAGTATTAATGGTGTTAAGAGTGTGTTACACATCTGATTCATTCATATGTATTTAGACCCATTAAGAGGTTTATAAGAAAATAAAACAAACAAAATTAATAAACTGAATTTGAATAATTAAGATTCAGTCCTAAAAAACAAACACATAAATAAGGCGAATCTGATTGATTAAGATTCAGACCTCCATTAAGTGCAAACAAATTAGGCTTAAATCTCTTAAAAATATAGTAAGATTTAGAGTAAAAATAAATTGATTATTTGTTATAGATAAGTGGCTTTAAAATTTGCCGTTTGTGAGCTCGTATAATGATATCAAGTTAAACACTATAATAATATCATAATTCACGGTCAAAATTTATAGGTATTTTGTGAATATACAAAGTATGAATATAAAAATTATTGAATTCACATGAATATATATATATATATATATAT